TCCCGTGGAGTTTTCATTCTCAGAGAATGAGATAATAATAAGCAAATACATATGTAAGAAGTCAGGAAATGATAAGGAAAGGCTAAGAAGAGAGAGTGGTGGGAGCAATTTTTCCCCCCATCCTCCTCCTGTGTCCAATCAGAAAAATTTTCTAAAATCACTTTTCACTTCTATTTATTTATTTAGAGACAGAGTCTCACTTTGTCTCCGTTGGTAGAGTGCTGTGGCATCACAGCTCACAGCAACCTCCAGCCCTTGGGCTTAGATGATTCTCTTGCCTCAGCCTCCCACCCACCACAATGCTTGGCTATTTTTTTTTGTTGCAGTTTGTTTAGCTGGGGCCAGGTTCAAACCCTCCACCCTTGGTATATGGGGCCGACACCCTACTCACTGAGCCACAGGTGCCATCCACTTTTATTTATTTTTTTAGAGATAGGGTTTTGCCCTGCCATCCTGGCTGGAAATTGGAAACTCCTGGACTCAAGCCTGGTCCTCCCACCTGAGCGTCCCAAGTAGTAGCTGGGACTACAGGCATTTGCCACCATGTCTACCTAAATTTTTCTTTCTTTTTTTTTCCTTTCCTTCCCTTCTTCAACTCCCCCTCCCCTCCCCTTCCCTTTTTCTCTCTCTTTCTTTCTTTCTTTCTTGAGAGTCTCACTATGTCACCCTCCGTAGAGTATGGTAGCATCATAGCTCACAGCAACCTCAAACCCTTGGGCTCAAGTGATTCTCTTACCTCAGTTTCCCATGCCTGTCACAATGCTCAGCTATTTTTAGAGATGGGGTCTTTCTCTTACTCAGGCTAGTCTCCAATTCCTGAGCTCAAGCAATCTACCTGCTTCAGCCTCCCAGAGTGCTAGGATTACAGGTGTTTCTTTCTTTTTTTGTTTTATTTTATGTATTTATTTATTTGAGACAGAGTCTCACTATATTGTCCTTTGGCAGAGTGCTGTGGCATCCCAGCTCACAGCAACCACAAACTCTTGGGCTTTAAGTGATTCTCTTGCCTCAGCCTCCCAAGTAGTTGGGACTACAGGCACCTGCCAC